TGAAGCTCCCTTCCGACTGTTTGGGACATCTGGAAAATCGATTGTTCGGAGAAGAAAAGGTGAACGCTACCATGAGTCCTGTGTTGTGCCAACAGTGACGCGTCCTGAGACCATCCATGTGTGGGGTTGCTTCTCAGTCAAGGGAGTGGGCTCTCTCATAAATCTGCCCAAAAACACTGCCAGCTTGATCAACTCCAAGAACTATTAAGGCAAGAATGGATCGCCATCAGTCAGGATTTGGCCCAGAAGCTAGTATCCAGCATGCCAGAGCGAATTGAAGAGGTTATGAAGAACAAGGTTCAACACTAAATATTGATTCGTTATATTTTTTTGCAAATAAAAGCCTTTAAAACTTACGATATGCTTATCATTGTTTTTCAGTATACCATAGAAACATGTGGAAAAATAATCTACAAATACTGAAGCAGCAAAATTTGCAACTTCTTCCGACGATCCATGAGCAGTTTGGTGATGATCCGTGCATTTTCCAGCATGATGGAGCACCATGTCACAAAGCAAGAGTGATAAAGAAGTGGCTCGAAGATCATTACATTGAAATTTTGGATCCGTGGCCAGGCAACTCCCCGGATCTCAATCCCATAGAGAACCAGTGATCAGTCCTCAAAAGGCGAGTGGACAAGCAGAAGCCCACAAATTGTGATCAACTCTGAGACCTAATAAGGCAAGAATGGATCGCCATCAGTCAGGATTTGGCCCAGAAGCTAGTATCCAGCATGCCAGAGCGAATTGAAGAGGTTATGAAGAACAAGGTTCAACACTAAATATTGATTCGTTATATTTTTTTGCAAATAAAAGCCTTTAAAACTTACGATATGCTTATCATTGTTTTTCAGTATACCATAGAAACATGTGGAAAAATAATCTACAAATACTGAAGCAGCAAAATTTGCAAAACACAATTTATGTCACTGCCAAAACTTTTGGCCATGACTGTAGTGTAGCGACAGCCATTTCCTCTGCTACTTGAAGTGTAATGTCATTTATTTTAATGTGTTTTTCTCTAGGTAAAGCCTGCTTTAATTAATTTCTAAACTTAAAAATACAGATGAACACATTTTCCAAATCAGTTTTGTAAAGCAACCTTGTAAATAGAAACAATGACTGAGCCACATGATCACTTTTACCTATAATGTGTCTATTCTAGCTCTTTATGGTCTGTTCATTAGAGAAGTAGCGGTGAATCATTGTGTTGTTCACTCAATCTGGTTGCAGCAGTTATCAGCTTAAAATAGAGTAATATTATCAACCATAGACCCCCCAATCTGAGGGTTGTCCCCCCCCTAAAAACATGATTAAAAACCACGCTGTGCATTGTAAAAAACAATGTTTTAAAACAACACAAACGCAAAAATGCGTTTTTTAAGTTTAGAAACATTTTGAGTCTCCCCCTTCCTTGCCTCACAGTGCTTTGGTCCAAATGCCAGCTTTCCTCTTTTACATCACCTACACACACACAAGTCCGGTGAGAGAGAACAAAGTCAATAGTTGTGGAACTCCAGCAAGTAAGGCTGTCAGGCTATTTTATTCACTTAAACATCGGATTGTGATTATTTTCTCTTTAATACAGATGATGCCAATGTATTTTCGATGAGTCTGCTATGTTAGCAATAATAACGTTACCTGCTTGAGGGAAAGGGTTGCCAGGTTTTCATAACAAAACCCGCCCAATTGCTACTGAAAACTAGCCCAAACTATCTGCGTTTCGAGGGGGTCCCCAAGTAAAAAATCACATTCCGGGGTCTAAAATACACGTTATTGGGGTAGCTTCAACCCGCGGACATGAAAAACAACCCGTGGCAACAGTGATAAAGTTGCCCAATTCCACAGTAAAACCGCGGACTTGGCAACACTGTGACGGACAGTAATGTCTACAACGGACACGAGCGCTGTCACGGCGCGACCACAACAGCTGGAAGTTGTCTAATTTGGCACGGTCTCCCTACTGCACTAATAGTAAGCCATTCTTCTGCGTACATATCCTTACAAGTACAGTTTTAGCTGTATTATATGTGTCCCCTTAAAAAAATTTATCTTGAGAAATTTTATGTTTATTGTCCCCCCCAACTGTTAGACGAAATTTACGCCCGTTATCAACAGAGTTTACATTTCAGTCTGTTCCTCAGAAAGCCATCATATTACTTTTGAAGACTTGGAACATGGCAAACAATCATATGGACCTCTTTTATTGTGCCTTTATGTTCTTTTTGACGCCTGAAGGCCTCAGTCTGCATGGGGACTAATTGTATGAAAAAGAGTGACTAGTACGGTTTTTAAAGATGTGTTCCATGGAAGAAAGAAAATTAAATGGTTTGGATTTACAGGAGTGAATAAATGTTTAGTTGTCTATACTCTGAAAATTGTGGTGACATTGTGAATGCTGTTTTTGTTGTTTTAATGTAAGGATGTGTTGACCCAGTTGTTGTTTCCTATCTGTAACAGGTAGCTTGTTACCAGTGACAATCTTTGATAAACACAGCCTTCGAGTTCTGTTCCATTTTGCAAGAGACTCTCCACCAGCACGGCCAGATGTTTTAGTGGTGATAATCTCCATGTTGTCATCTGCCCCTGTGCCCATCACAAATGTACGATTCCAGGCGGCTGTTCCTAAGGTAGCTCTATTTATCATCCATCTCTAGTCAATCTCTCTAGAATTCTGTGTTGAAGCTGTATGCTTGTATGTATGTGCAGACTATGAGAGTAAAGCTGCAGCCACCATCGGGATCAGATTTACCTGCCTTCAATCCTTTATTGCCCCCTGCCGCCATTACACAGGTCCTGCTTTTAGCCAACCCTCACAAGGTAAATAAACAGATGTATTCGGAGAATATTATGTAGTAGTTGGGCTGCAGTGGTACATATATATTGGATGCAGATATAGGGCTTTCAGTACGGTACTTAAAATGACAGAGTGCACCAAATGGAGAAAAAAAAAACATTTTGGAACAAGAACTAAACTGCGCTTATTTATAAGGTACTGTATGAAAAATCACTGCCGAAGTCACTTTATGTTATCAAATTAATTACTATTCAGTTTCTATGTAGACACACTCACAATTTGTCTGGAAAAAACCCCACCGTAAAATAAAAAATTATATCTGAAACCTGACATTTGGCAGTGAAAGGAAGACTTATAACTGTGCCATTGTTTTTACATGAATAATAATTTCAAGACAGATTATTTTTCTCTCTAGTTACCAAACTGTGACTCCAATATTGAGGTATGTACTGAAACATGAAATTAATTTTGTGTACTGTTGCAGCCCTATGCAAAAAATGTGGATATCATTTGTCAGGAAAGCTTGCTAACTGTGAGGGTTATGGTTTGTGACTTATGTCATACACGTGTGGCTGTCTATGTTGCTGATTTGCAAATATTATCTGATTACATTGCATTTCTTCAAGTTCATAATTTCATACAAGTTTTCTTTCTTTTTGAAGGAGAAGGTGCGGTTGAGATACAAACTGACATTTGATTTAGGACAAGAATCACACGATGAGAGCGGAGATGTAGAGCAGTTCCCTCCACCAGAGTCCTGGGGAAACCTTTAAAAGAACAGACTGGTTTCCTGCTAGTGGCCCCTCTGCTTCCTTATGGCAGTTCATATCCAGACTATGTCAATGACTCTGCCTTTGGTCCATATCCTTCTGTCCTCTCCTTAATGTCTGAATGAGGCCTTTAAATGAACTCGTTATTTTTAATTCCAGTTGTTCTTTCTTTTTTTCAGCTTTGTTTTGTTTTCTGGTATGTCAGGCCTTTTGTATGAAGCTTTAAATGTTTGAAAGTTAAAGAGTTTTGTGGTCATTTTGGACATTATTTCCATGTGTGAATTGGGATAATGGGAGTCTGTCAGATGTAATGGCATATAGCAGGTTAATTTTCTGCACTAATTGTTTCATTTTCATTGTTGATTAATAAGTTTTGTTCACTTGCACACATTCTTGATCTTTTTTTTGTGTGTGTGTTTGATTGTATTGTCAGGCTGCATGTGGTTTTAATGGCAACTAAAAAATCAATTTCTTTGCAAGAAATACTTTAAATTCAAATGCTCTATATATTACAAATCACATAGCCCCTTGTCATTCAATGTAATTTTTTCATCTTAATTTACGATTGCCCTAAAATAGCCCCATGTGCACTGTACTGCTCTTGAACTTCATGCTGATGTCTTGTTTTTATTTACCGTACGTGCCTAATCAGATTATTTTTTTTCATGCTTATGTGAATATAGACATTTTGTGTTTATGCTTTTTTTAAATTGGCTGTGTAACAGAAGCGTTTGCCCTTTTTTTTGGTTGAGATTGTCTTTTGTTTTTGTGAATCCCTGATGGTTCCACATCTAATCTGGGCTCTCTCAATGCAGTAGTTTAATGAATAATTTCACCCTTACCATCCCCATAAGAGATAATTGAAGAATTGTGTACTCAAGATAACACAGGTAATTTAAATAACGGTACTTCGGTTATATTTAAGTGGAATCAGGATGCTGCTGCATAGGAATTCTCTGTAGACAGGAATTGAAATCACTGTGTTCCCAAATTAAACAATTCTAGTTTGTGTCACTCTTTACATTTAAAGGTCTGTGATGAAGTCCGTTCCATTCCATATCATTAATGTCTATCCAGCCTGATGAAGTGTAAATAATATTGGTATTGCTATTATGTACATTTGCCAAAAACTAATACAGAGACTAAACATACAGAGAAGTGAATGTAGTGCAAATATGTATTTAAGGGAAATAAAGTTATTCTTTTTCTCTGGGGTTTAAAATGCGGTTTTTTTTTTTTATGAGGACCCATAAATCCCACGATAGGCTGTGGTGGAGGAGGGAACTGCTGTGCCATGAGTGGTTGCGGACCTGGCACAGGCTGAGGAGTTGGTGGAGGTGCTCCAAACAGGCCTTGGGTTCAGCCTGATCTTATCCTCCTGCACCCCCACTTTTTTTTTTTGAGGTAATAGTCAAGCATCAATGACAGCAATCTGAATTGATCTCTTTTATTAAAATCTGTAAAACAAAGTGATTATACAAAAAGAATTTATATTTATTTCCAGGTTCCTTCCAATCAGAGAGGTGGTCTTGTGAACAAATATGATTCCACTGAGTCGGTTCAGGATCCCCAATAGTAGCTGTCTGTAATGCCTGATCATAGGCATACATAGTAATGCATACAATGGTTTAATTAAACGTTTGCATTGAGTATAGGTTAAGGTATACTGTAGCATACTAAGTGCCTAGTGGTATGCTAAGGTAAGATGCAGAGACGTTCGCTTTCAAACTGGAAATTACCTACCAAAAAAAAAATCTCCATCTGTGAATTATTCTGCAAGTCTAAAACTGATGATACTGGAGGGTGCAAATCTTATTAAAATCTCAATAAGTACTGACAAACTAATCAAAAGATGAACTCTTTTACCTGGGAAGATGCACAAAAAAAAGTCAAGATATTTAACGATTGTTCCTAACTGGTTTTGCTTTAGGGACCAGATTTGAGAACCACAGAACTATAAAGCATTGTATTGGATCAGGAGCCCTTCACTCAAGACCCTGGACCACTTGCTTGATTTAATGCAAAGCCATCCTTTTCTACCACAACACAACAGAAAATAAAGAGCACACCATGTATTACACCGCTATATTCAAAACTTCAGACTGGAAACGGCAGGTTACTATTACAACAAGAAAGAAAAAACTGAAAAGACAGCAAAGCCCCTGGATGCTACTTTCTAGGAGGGGGAGGAATGGGTGGTGGTGGTGAGGCAAATGGGTATGGGCCAGGACCCATGAACCCCATGATAGGCTGTGGTGGAGGAGGGAACTGCTGTGCCATGAGTGGTTGCAGACCTGGCCCAGGCTGAGGAGTTGGTGGAGGTGCTCCAAACAGACCTTGGGGAGGTCCAGCCTGATCTTGCCCTCCTGCACCCCCACCTGGATGTGAGCCTCCCCCTCTGGAGCCATACTGCCCCCCTCCTCCGCCCCCACAGCTCTGGAATTGGTCACCTCCTCCACTGTTGTAGGGGGGTCCCGAGTTGTAGTTGTTTCGTCCATCCCTGCTGCGGTCTCTGTAAGAAGAAGAGGACATACGGTCGTCACGGCTGCTCCCACCTGACCTTCCATCACGGCTCAAGTTGTTGCTGCGGCTGCCCTTGTTACTTCCGGTTACAGAGCGCATGTGGCGATCACATTCATCCTGGTACATCAGGTTGGGGTTATTTGAGGTTGAGTTGTTGCCACGATAACGCATCCTTCCACCTACGGAAGTAGCCAGTGAGAGTCCAGGGATTAGGCTAGTGATAAGAAATTTAGAAAGAAACTTACCTCCAAAAGGTGTCCGACTAGCCTGGAAATTAAGTTTTTCACTCAAAGGACATAATACAAATTGAAATTTGAATGCATGCCCAACTACAGCTCATTTAAAATGCTCACCTCCCCCTCCCCCACGGCATGTGTCCACCAGCTGCAGTAGTTTGGGGTTGATGGCCTGTCTAGCCTCCTCAAGAACCCGGACCAGATCACGAGCCTGCCGAAGGTTCCCAGGTGTGAAGAAGGTATAGGCTGTACCTTTGTTGGTGCTGCGGGCTGTGCGCCCAATGCGATGAACATAATCCTCAGAAGAGTTTGGATAGTCATAGTTGATGACAAATTTAACATCCTCCACATCTTCATGGGGCCAAGGTCAAGAAATTATGGAGGAAGAAAATAATTTAAATTAGAAAGTGAGGTAGGCTGAAGGAAAGGACCATTGCTTAGTTCACTGCGACAGCAACAGTGGCATTATTCAGCCATCTGGGTTTGGGATCTCATCTCTTAGGGAGCTCTGAATAGGCTTTCAATTCTAAAGTTATCCAATGACATGAATACACTTGAAAATGTTTGAAAGAGTATTTTTGTATGCCATCATCAGCAGTCAGAAATATCCAAGTCTTAAATGTATAATAGTGATGCACCAAAATGATTTTTTTTACTAAAACACGAAACCTATTGCACACAAGTCAGTTTTATCAACTTTTTAATGATATAATTATGTTTCTACTCCAATTTGTTGTTGAAATAAACATTTAAACTGACTAATAAAAACTTTTCATGACAAACCTTTTCAAACAGATTGAATAAGGAAGACAACAGTGTATATATTTAGCAATATATACTTTAGCAATATATAATATATACTGCCCCCCCCCCCCTTTTTCTAACGAGCAATGGACATTGAATGGCTTTCCTGAGGTAAATGTAAGTTACTTTCCTTGTTTGAAACACTCAATGAGTGATTACATAAGACATGATACATTTCAGTGAGTTGTACTGTTTCTGTTAACACCTGATGGTCAACTTTATTCTGTTATACAACTAGCAGTAAACAACGAGATGGCTGGTTCACGGACACTGTACTGCTACTTGAACTGAGATTGCTACAGCAATCTGTCACACCACACCAAAGAGAGTCAATATGACATTTCTTGTCTGAATTTCATTATAAAATTGACCAAATCTGAAAGCTCAGTCTTTGTTTCATATTAAAAGTAACAAAGCACAAAGCTGTGCTTTGCTTTGCCAGAGTTTTTAGATTTCTTGGATGTAGCCATTTGATAATAAAGGCTTTTTAATTCACAAGAGTGCCATGGTCATTCTGAAGTATTCTTTGATTGACTGTTACAAACCCTAGACCAGAGAGCACCTTGACCTTACAGCACCAGAACCCCGAGACGCACTCTCTACTATTGGACTTTGCTTAAAGCACAAAGCTTATTGTGAACATTGGATAATAGGCACACTACAAATAATGTTTTGTTAATGCGTTAAATGAAAACATCATAGACTAAGAGATCTTAGTTCATCAAAATGAAGATTGATTAAAAACTAAATAAATCAATATTGTCAACCTAGCATCCACACAGCTCACGTGTACATGTTGTAGCTTATCTATGTTGTGCACATAGTAGACACTGACAGTCAAAATGTGCCATCAAAGAAGCGCTAATTAAATGTCACCGTTTTGGTCAATGATTTCGGGCCCCCCAAAATATTTTTGTTTGCTAAAATATTGGTGCATCACTATAATATTAATCATTCAGAAAAAGGTCTGTCTTAAAGTCAACTTAAAGAGTCTCACTAGCCGATTTTTCAGTCAATTTCTGATTTCTGAGAAACGCTCTTTGATGGAGCATTAAGTCCTTGCTGTGACTTGAAGTCAGCTTTAGTCTAGTTTGAAATTATCATTCAGGTGGTGAAGAGGGATGTTTGTGGACATAGCAGTGAGCTTCTGAAGAACTGACAAGCCACAGTCCTGCTCGGATCTGATCCAAACTTTTTCCTCAACAGCCGCAGCTGTTTACTTCTGCTGCTTAGTAAAGACTGCACAGGAGAACCACTCCCCTCACTATTTTTGTTGTTGTTTGTTTCTGCAAATGTATTGCAAAGGTTCCAAAGAATGCAAGATTCATTTTCTACATTTATCATCCCAGTTGTCAGGAAAGTGATCCCTGACACATCTTGACAAACCATACGATTTAGGACTGTGGTTATCAGCAGCAAACTGTATAGAAGTTCACATTAGGGATGCTTCGATCAGGATTTTTGCAGCCGATACTGAGTACCGATTTCTTGTCATGGTGATCGACCGATACCGATACCGATGCTTCAAGCTTTATATAGACGGTTTCATCGGGCACACGCATCTGGCCCGAAATTCACTTCCAGTCTGTGTTTGTTTATCAGTCTGGCTATGGCACCGGCTACAAA